ATATTGATTCACCTTTGGGTAAATCCATAATTTCTAACAACCAATAAACTTATTATCTTACATAATGACATTCTCAAGTGAACATAAGTTATATGACCAAACTTTAAAAAATTAAATCGGCCACTTTGGTGACTAACAAATTAATTTCCTCTTAATGTCATATAATAACCAATTGTAACAATAATATTATATGACTGGTCATTAAAACTAATTAGGCTACTTTGGTGACTAACAAATTAATTTTATCTTAATGTCATATAATAAAACAATCATAACGATAAATTATATGACCGAACATTAAAAATTAATTAGGCCACTTTAATGACTAACTAATTAATTTTGCTTTAATGTCATATCTATACTTATATAATAAGAATTAACATTTATCCAAAATAGTAGGTCAAATTATGGTCAATGTCGGATTTGCATTAAATATTTTTCAAAACCGGTAAGTTTTTGTCCTTTTCACACTTTTCATTAATTATGTCCTTTTCACACTTCTCATTAGTTATGTCATTTTCACACATCTAATTAAATCATTCCATATGAGCTTTTATAGTTAAAATGTATAGCGATCTGTTATGACCTTATCCCATTGATATTTCCATGAAGCGTCCTTATCACGTTCTATTTTTTGGTAACCACTCTATATCAATAACCGAATATTTGGTTAATGATAACACACGTCTTTATTTCAAAGTGGATATTCTTTGACCTTTAATTAATCTTAACTGATTGCCTTGACTTTTCAATTTTTAAAAAAGAACTTTTCAATTTTTAAACTCTGCGGATATTCTTTGACCTTTAATTAATCTTAACTGATTGCCTTGACTTTTCAATTTTTAAAAAAGAACTTTTCAATTTTTAAAAACTCTTTTTTTATCGCACGTTGGTCTTCTCCTGAAGTACCCGTTTTTAGTCACAGCCAATTATATGTTGCTGCTTCGTGTGTAAATAATAGAAGGGGTTGAAAATATTAGTTTGTGATAATGAGGAGTTACCAAATAATCAAACTCATAATGTTGTGTACAAGGAGGTTTTTAATAATTTATGATTGTTACCGAACTTTTTATGATTCAACAATGTTCCTATGTATTTTAATGATTTCAATTTCGATCCTAATGCACGTGAGATTATATTATTCTTCCAAATTTTACATCGTGCATCGCACGGGTTACATACTAGTAATATAATAAGCATCATGATATTAATCCCTTCAGATTGCATATCAACTTATATATGATTTCTTAAGAAAAAAAAAAAACAAAAAAAACAAAACAAAATAAAACAAAGCAGAACTAGTGCCTCATCGCTCATCATCATTATAAAACCATGTAACTATATTTCGTGCAAATCAAATCAAACATATTAACGCGATCATCAACATATCATATATATGATCATACGATTTGATACGAAATATCCAAATTATTTATTCACTGATACCACATGTAAGCTTCATCAAGGATATTGAATAAATAATTTGGTGTATACGAAACATAATTTGTGATCTTGATCTTGATGATCACACGGTTGAATCGATTGATAGATCTAAATTAGTTTCTCCCTCCTGACGGATTCCTTAATGTAGCAGAAAACTGATGGTGCGTACCTTAATTGAAGGAGAGATGACTAATTTATATAGGGATGACTTTAGATCTGGTACGTCCATCAAGTATCCAAATTAATGGCTTAGATTTGTTTGATTATTAAATAAAGACCTAGCCCAATAGGATAATTAATTGTGAGCCCAATGCTTTCGGGCCACATATTCTTACATGTTGTCGTATCATCTCTAGAAACATTAATTTTTTTTTCCTTCGATAGAATTATATAAAATCAAACAAGAACATAATTTATAGTAAATTCCTAATATTGTCAATTCCATTCCAACCTATCATTGAGGATCTCACCATGTGTTCAATAAAGAACACTTGTTGATAATATAAGTATATAAGATATTGTCACTTTTGCACCCCTTATATTTTTTTTTTTAAAAAAAAAATCACCTAGAGAAATGCTATGGAGTCAACGGTTGGCTCCTTTATGGAGCCAACCACCAATGTTATAGTGCCACATAGGCCATGTGGAGTTAATTAGGTAGTGAGATTTTCAATTATACCTAATAACCCGATTAACTCGATTAACCGTCATTAACCCTACACCCTAAACCCTAAGCCAACCTAAAAGATTTTCAATTATACCTAATAACCCGATTAACCGTTATTAATATTTTTTTAATGGTAGTGAGATAATTATACCCTAAACCCTAAACCCCAAGCCAACCTAAAAGATTTTCAATTATTCCTAACAACCCGATTAACCGTTAGTAACATTTTTTTAGTGGTAGTGAGATAATTAGGTCAAATTAAATATCCAAAAAAGGGGAAACTAAAAGGTAAAGTTTATTATCCAAACCACCCACCGCCCCACGTACCCCTTCATTCTACAAAACCGCTCAACAAGTTTCGCCGATTCCAAATTTCAATGGCAAAAAACAAAATCTCTCATCCTCATCGAAAATATCCGGCAGATGGTGGCGACATTTCACCAGTTATAAGATCAAGTGCTCGGCTCCGTAAAATCCTTCCAAAAAATCAACCAAAACTCGTTTAAAAAAAATTAATTTTCGAGAAAAAATCAAACCCTAATCATAGTCGCATGTTTCCGGCAAGGCGAGAATTAAAAAACCTATTTCGTCTCCCGGTTCAGACGACTTTCAGTCAGACACAAACAAACCGGAAAAGCCTCGGCGAACTCGTAAACTGGAGAAGCCAGCCCGAGTTTTGAGCGAAGAAGACCCTGAGTTCGAGTGTGAAAGCCAACCTGAAGAAACCGGCCGCGAAGAAGATTTGGAAGAAGAAGACTCTCCGGTTGAAATGCGGACGAAAAAAAGAAAGAAAATGACCAGAAAAGAAAGGGACGAAGAAATTGAAGAAGAGAAGAATGGACAACAGTAATGTCACCAAGGCCCCTCGAGATTTTCAGAAAGGAATAACATATAAGGTAATTTATATATGATTAATTGAAATATTTTTGTTGACGGTTCAACTTGTTATAAGATATTGTGTATTGTTAGTGGTCCACACTCAAATGGTGAAACTTTGATTGTCTGTGTACAGGCGCCTTATTAGATGTTGATGTTTGGCAGCTTGTTTCCTATGTCTATAATCAAATGCTAAGGGGGTGATTGTTTATGAAATAATTTGTTCAAAAGAAGTTATTTTGGTTAACTATAGTTAATTTTGAAAAATGTTGTATAGTTAGTTGATAGTGGAATTTTAAGAATGTATTATAATAATATTTAATATAAAATGGTTAAAATTGATTTGATGTAAAAGTAGGAGATAAATGATTGAAAATGATTGGTAGTTAAAATTATGTGAGTGGATGAATAGTGAATTGAAGTTGATGTGATGTGTAAGAATGATTGGTTTGTATTATTTAATTATATGAATAATATTAAAAGTAGTGTTGTTGAATTAAAATTGAGTTAGATTTTGAATATAAAATAAATTAAAATGAAATAATTCATAAACAATCAAGCCCTAAGGGCCCACGCAACTCGGTTTCACTTAAGCAACAATTTTTGTTTCGATTTTTTTGGCCTTATTTGGTATGGTAACTGGTATGGTTTTGTTTTTAGATTGAATTCTGACTTTTTCATGATATTTTAACAGTACGAATATACTGTCACTGATTCAACATCATTTAATAATTAGTATGTATTTGGTATAATTCAAATATGTGTTTGAGGTTAAGTAGAGTATGTCTAAAAATGTGTTTTTGTGGTGGTTGTTTCTTTTTTCTTTTTGTCTTTAATTTACTAGGCAGCCTTCGACTGTGCTGTACCTTCGGCTGTGCACAACACAGCCGTCCCACCTAAGAGCATCTCCAATGCTATAGTTTTGAAAGACAATGATTTTTAACACATGTCAATCAATGATTGTAATGTTAATCCATGTAGGAATAATGTTAAAAGAGTAGAAATTTGAATCAAACTAGTATCTCCAATGCATCAATTTGGTAAGAAGTTATTTGTATAGATGGACCAATTAAAATAATCATTGATACAAGAACAATAAAAAATTAAATCAAATATAAAGTGAATTGATTAGTCATCATGTTTAACATGGTGTTAGGTATTAGAAAGTGTGTTCAACATTGTCAACATTAAATGCTATCCACCTCATCATGAAAGAGCTCATGACAAGATGCATTGGAGAACAAATTAGTAACACACTTTTAAAAGTTGATGATATGGATGAATTTTTATAATGTCAAAAGCTACATTGGAGATGCTCTAATTGTATAGCATTTTAGTCATTATCAATGTCATGTGAATGAGTATAAATTGTTGTTTTAAAAATAATCATGGACTTTATCTATATAAATGAAAAATACACATACTAAAAGAAGTTTGATCAAACCATCATGTATGCATTAAATAATAACATTGGGCTAGTCTGCTCTGCATGGTTGCTTGAAGTTACCCATAGATATTAATGTTCAAGTCGTACCTGTATATTATACTAATACAAAAAGGACAAAAAGTCCTCGAGTCTTCATAACTAAATTAAAAAACACGCAGAAGGGACATCAAGCTAAATCAGTGTTTACACAAAGAATTGAAGTTTAAATTATATTTCTATAAAAACTTTAAAGAATTTGTCAAGTACACGTCATGATAATAGAGCAGAAAAATAGAACAAATATGAAAAGATTTAACTGAACAGTGTAAACCCTATCTAACCCACATGTTCCATATATAACATTGATTCGGTATCCAAATTAAAACTACTACAAATAGGATTGCAAAGTAAGAACACAGAAGCAACAAAAGTATCTCGCTTAAAACATACAACCAGATATTTGAAATACATGGACTAAGACCCAGTTTTCTGTTTGTGCTGAATTAGAATTCTTGAAATACATGGATTAGAATTCTTGACTGCTCCCGTTATATCATATCACTCACTACTATAACTTTTCCACCTAGTTCATGTAACAGCTTTGCAGCCCATGATCCAACATTCCAAACCCTTTAATGATATGTGACAACATTCCATAATGTAAAAGTTGTAATGGAGAGGGATACACAATGAAATATAAGCTTAGTAATTATCTGGACAAAAATTACTCAAGTGGGAGTAATACCTGGAGGGCTAATGTTAGATCCTTTATCAGTTTTCCATGTTGAGCGAGTAAGGCTTCAGTCACAAATACAACTCCACGCTCAGTTGCTGCTTCACGTCCTACACAAGCACACAACTTAGAAAGGGTAATAATGAGTTCAAATATTAATTTGCAAAGTTTATCTCTCTTATTTTAGGTTTTACTTACTATTGGATTTGCTATAACTGCAGGTGAGTGACCATGAAATTTCTGAGTACTCATCCAGAATCCAAGCTATTGTGTACAATATAACTAAATACATAGCAGATAAGCTTTATACTTTAACAAATACAAAAATATAATATAACAGTACACACAAAAAGCTTATATTAATAGTAGAAACAAGCAAAGTAGAAAGAAACAAAACAAAAACAGGCAGATACGTGCAATGAAAAAAAATTCCAAAATGGTAGTATAATTTTGAAAACTTATATTTTCTTATTATTTTACCAACCTTAAGTTTGCAAGCGGCAAAAGTGTGGATGAAAGAGCGTGAACCAGCAAAGCGAGGAAGGAATTAAAATAGAGTAAATTACAATTTTAGTCCTGTATGTTTTACTACCTTAACTTTTTAGTCTTCTTCGAATCACGTTTTCTATTTTCGTCCCGTATGTTTGTAAAAAAGTTACAAAAAGGTCATTTTCATACATAAAGGACGAAATTGGAACATTTTTTTGCAAAACATAAAGGACTTTGAAAAAGACCTTTTTGTAACCTTTTTGCAAACATACAGGACGAAAATAAAAAACGCAATTCGAAGAGGACAAAAAAGTTAAAATAGTGAAACATACAGGAATAAAATTGCATTTTACTCCTTAAAATATATCTTGAAAACAGTAAAGCAACAAACTAATTAAAACACAACCCGGTAAATAAATTCCATATATCAAAAAAGTTTCAAATATATAAGGAGTGCTTTCAATAAATATGTACATACATATTTTTGTAAAATTACAGTTAACAGTGTGGTTGTGGTTCTATACATGACAAAATTGATACAGATAAAGAAAAAGTAAATGCAATAGCATTTTCTATACATTAAATAGTTTATGAAATACAATGCCACCCATATACCTAAAATATTTAGGTACCCTATTAACATTTAAGTAAAGTTGCCTAACAGGGTACTTTCATTTACTGAAACACAGATGATTATATTCAGAAAAGCTTAAATCAAAATTCGTCAATAAGAGGTACTTTTTTGAATAAACCCAATCCCCTGAATATCTTTTTTTTTAAATACATTGTGTAGTAGTTATTTTTTGAAAAATTAAACACCAGTAATAAAAAAATCTATACACAAATCTCTCAGTTAATACCTGATAACTACACCCAATCTCTGTACAACAGCAGAATACCTGGAAATATAAAGAAATAGTAACAATATTATTAAAGACTTATGAACAAAATATATGCCACTAACCTTTATGCCATTCTTCAAAGAAGTTTAAATGTACTGCAACATAGTAATCCAATAGTATTTATACCTCTGTAGTAATAATAATGCATCTAAACAACAAAAACAAACATAAAAAGATGCACGCAAAATGTTTTTGTAAATGGCAGTGAATTGAAAATGAAAGATTTTTTTATTTCTTGTTATTGTTTAAAGTTTTGAAATAAGAGAATTCCTTGAGTGTTCTCTCCCGATAAATTATTCTTGTTATAGAGAACATATGATGAGCAGATGAGTGAACTATACTTTAAACACTAAAAGAACATATTCAACTAACAAGCTTTGTAAAAACCCCTGTAGAAAAGAACAACTTACAAATGAGCCTCACAAATGTAATTTGTATATTTAATTTGTGATTAGACTAAATTAACAGGTAGCTCCTTTAATTGCCCCATATATTATAATAATGCCATAGACTACAAGAATTACCTAGACAATGAAGATACCCAAGGCCGATGACAACTTCTGTTGCATAGAATCTGCAAGTTAATGATGAAACATTAATTTGAAGGTCAGAGAATACTCAACACACATCAATATCCACTATTAGTCCACCAACTCGTCAGGACGAACAAAAGTGCCTACAAGTTTAACCAAATACCTGGCTGAGTCCTCTCTAAACATTTTCAAGGTCTGTTTGTCGCCTCTTGGACAAAATTGGTTATCAAACAAACATGTGTAGGTGTCTGGGCACGCATAAATGGCACTTAATCCTCAGGCGGAATGAATCATTGGCCCACAGAATGTCGATTCTCGGGGTTCCCTGGATCAGATCGGAGTCGCCGGACATGCTGCCGAAGCAGATCTGCCTATTGCCATTGCGGTCCTTTCTCAATAACAGCAAATTGACAGCGCACGATGTCAGGCTGTCCAACAATCTGGCAACGCGAGGCCTCAGGTGACTGCTCCGTCACGATTGATATAAGTCCTTGCTCTCATTGAATATTTCACTTCCATATCTATATTTAATTAACTGAGCACACATTTGCACAAATCGGAAACTTTAAACTGAAAAAACCATGATGAAAGTGAACTGCAATTCAATATATATAAAATCTAAAAAACAATTATGCTAACCCTAAACAAATAAAAGAAAAGCATAACAGAATTAACACACGAGTACAAACCTAACACGTAGATCTTGTCGTCGTGTCTCTCCCTCTCCGTCCTCGCCTCTCCGGGTCTCGCTCTCTGTCTTGTCACCGCCTTGCCGTCGCCGGTTGTGTCTCTCTCTCTCTGTTTCCGCCTCGTCATCGCTGGGAAACTCCTCATCATCAGGTTTGTCGGAGCAAACGTGGTGGTGATTGAAATTGCGCTCGCCATTCACGCCCAAGCGCTCACTTTAAACAGTGACAACGGATTGAAATTTCTAGAGGAATCGGCCGAACCAAAAAAGCGAAGGCATCGTCTTTGGAATAATTGGACGGGAATGATTAAGATCCACAAATAAAACGACACCACTTCTAAAACGGCGTCGGTTTGAGGGAAAGATGGCCACGTGTCAATCAAAGAGGGCTGGTATGCAGCAGTCTGAAGTCACTACCTAAATAGGAGTTCTTTCAGTTTGATTTCTTCTAATTTTGTACTATTCTTCTTTTTGAACTACTCTTATCCAAACTTCGGTCCTCAATAATAAAGAAAAAAAAAAACTTTAGTTTCAATTATGGGGTTTCACTAGAAGAAATTAACAAGTGTTGTATTAATATGCTATTGTTTGTTAAGAAAGTAGTTCCCTTTTCGTTTTAACTACGCTGTTGCATTTTCCTGCTTGATCAGCTCCCCTCAACTGTGTTCCATGTGTTTCTTTAGATGTTTTTTCACTTAACAACTATGAGGAAACTTTAGTCACTTTTCTTTATTTATTTAGTTTTGAGATAATGTCATACTGTACTGTATGTTGTGTTTGGACATAGCTTAGCTGGATTCATGCATATTGACTGCCATGCTCAGTTTCAAAGTGTCCATTATAATGAACTGTTTATGGTTTAATCATTTTGTGATGAGTTTCAAAGTGTCCATTATAATGAAACTATTTTGTCATTGAGTCTATGTGAAGTATATGTGATGAGTTTTTCTATAACTTAGAATATCTGTGTAATGTGTTTATATCAGGAAGATGGAATTGTTTATAATATGTTTATTATAACAGTAATGCTGACTAACTAAATACTGAAACCAAAACTATTTTTCAGTTATGAAAAACTTATAATGAAACTCTTCTGTCATTGAGTTGGTTTAAAGTATATGTGAATAGTTTTTCTATAATTTGACATGTCTGTGTAATGTTTTTTATACCAGAAAGATGTAATTGTTTATTATATGTTTAGTATATGGACCAATATGAATATGTAAACAATTCGACCCGGGTTTCATCAAATTTCAGGTAGTAATGTACATTCTACTTTATAAGCTAATATGTGGAGTATCTTGGTTGAATGTTGAAGATATGATCACTGACTACATGTTGGAGTATAATATGTGGAGTATCTTGGTTGAAATGTTGATCACGTTCTATTTCCCATTCATTTAGAAATAAATGGAGTTGGTCATTGGATTTTGGGGCGCCTTTCTTTTGATGATATGAAACTTCATATATACAATTCAATTCGCACAGAAGATTGCGATAAAATTGTCATGGAGAAGTGCAGGCGTATGTTGAGATTATTCCCATTTTCCTTCGATTGGTGAAGTTTTTGAAAAAAGGATTGGCCTGTAACGGCAATCTTGAGGTTGTAATGGTTGATAATCTACCCCGGCAGCACAGCAGGTTCCCATTTTTCTTCTAATTGCTTTACGTATGTATTTATTTCTATTATTATTATCATTATTATTATTTTTACTATTATTAATCTTATTACTATAATTAATTTACAATTATTATTTTTTTCTGGTATGGGCAACGATTGCGGGGTGTTCGTTGCATCGTTTGCCGAACATTTCATTTCGGATCGTGACATTACCAAGGGGAAGTTTGATGTCAATATGGATATATGCTCTACAATCATGGCCGAATGAAACAAATTAATGAGTGCGATAGTGACGATGAATCCCTCGGTAGTGTCCCTGATGAAGTTCGGTTCGGTTTTCTGAAAACATTGTAGACCGTGGTATTTTTTTTTGTGGTGTATTTGACAATTTGGATGTGAACTTATTTTCGTCGAACAATTGGGATACGACATTATGATTGTGCTAAGTATTAGTTCAAACTATAATTTTTTTTTTCTTATTTTTATTTCTGTTTATATATTTGGTATATCCAATGTTATTGTTCCATATTAAGAAAAAATTCGAACTTATAATCTTTCTATGCTATTTATCTGGTTATATGTTGGGTATATCCGATTTAACTTTTCTCTTTTTGTAATTAATTTGATAGATAAGTTGAATTTTTTTTGTCCTTTTTTTTTTTGTTTGCACTTAATATGGTTATAATTTGATGTTTATGAACTTGTGATTGGCTGATGTTACTGATCAGTTGAACTTACACTCTTTTTATGTTTAATTCTGATTATTATATGTGGGGTATATGCAATGTTAAGGTACATTTTTTTAGATATCTTTATACTCACCCATAATATAACACAAATATACCCATATTATAAGACAAACATACTCATATTAATAAAACACAAATACACTCTCCAGAATACTGAATTAATAACGATTCAAATTATACATAGCAATTATTGGACTCTCATCTTTTCGGATTCCTACAAGTTTTCACATTGTGCCCTTTCTCAATACACTTGTTGCATCTATTTTTTGACCTATGCTCCCATCCCGACTTAACCCGTTGCTTGCGTGGTCGCCCTGGCCTAACTCGTGCAATTGGGGGATTTACCAATGTACGGTCAGATTGCGATTCATGCGTGAATGCTATATTTCCTTCAATTGGTATAACAGCATCCTCATAAGTTGCCAACATAGTAGAGTTTAGGTAGTACACAGAACAGAATGGAACCGGATCCAAGTGGAGTGACTTTATAACACGTATAGCATGCGGGCACGGCAGCTCATCAACTTGAAAGCGATTGTGGCACCCCGCCTTACTAGCTTTGAAAATCAGAGTAAAATTTTCGCTTTTGTTTTCGAAAGGTGGTGCGAGCTTGTTTTCGAAAACACTAACTCATTGCGGGATGACACAGATAAAAACTTTACTTAACTTACTCACAGACATAATAAAACATGCAACCAAACTATCCCCTACGGATATGGAATCATACATGCCATGTCTGAACTGTCTCGCACAGTCCAAAGTCTGCTAGCGGAAGCATCCGAAATACAGAAATACATAGAGTACATGCATACATATCTGAATGAATACATGATCATAAAAATAAGGACATAAAATGCGTGTAAAAATGTCCTCGCTGTTGGGATCTGTGAGGATCTCGTTATGTACAAATCACGAATTCAATAGCAAACGTAAACCTATGCGCAGCGGATCTAAAGGTTTGACGTAGAGAACTTACGGCTTAAAATTTATGTAGATCTGGTTGACCACGAACGGTTGACCGCAATTGATTGACCGCAACACGCCTTGGGTTGCACGAACAAGATCAGATCAAAACTGGATCAAACGGATGCAAACAGATCAAAACGAAATTTTGCTGCCAGACACCTTCCGGCGGCGCGTGAGGGCGCGTGCGGCGTCGGATTCCGGCGACGTCGGCGGCGCTGGAAAGCTCTCGTCGAGACGGTCGTCTGCGTATACTGTACGTCTCAATCGGACTTCCGGTTAGTTCTGTAGGTCAAAATCTATTTCGTCTCGGTTTACCTACAGATCTTCTACTGTATTACTCAATACACCCTTCTTCAACTTGTACCAGTGGAGCAACAAGAAGAAGATAAAGCTCGAATGAGATCTAGAGAGAGAGACGCGTGGGGCGTGTATATCTCGTGAATATGAGATTTCTATTCTCTTCTCATGAGCTTAATGATGTATATATAGAGCTACAGTAGGGACCCTAAGGAGATTAGGAAAAGGGCTCCTTAATTAATTAGACTAACTGTGGG